TGATGCGCGGGTGGGCTCTGACGGCACCCGAATCCGCATCTATCCATCAATCATCCATCCACCACCCATCCGAGCAAATTAATTTTCTGTAATTACAGACCCGCATCCACCCGCACCTGTATGTTTATATTATCAGGAAAGATTAGATCCTGACCGATCCCGTCAGCTGACTGACATTAAAATAATCAATAAAATGGCGACGTTACTCCGTGCGTAAAGGTGCAGATTGGCACTCTTAATGATGAGACACTCATTTCTGCTGCTGCGGGGATCACTGTGTTAAATAAACCCTTCCACATGACACATTTAAAGAGTATGCTTGCCCAGCCAATCATTCATTATTTATCAGCGGGATATAAGCATGATGATATAGAGGGCCTATTGTATTGCACACGACACAAGTAGGCTCATTTCACATTTTAGAGCATGCAATACATTTTCCCCTCATTAATGTTTGTGAAAGCAATTTGTAAACTTTGTTTTTAAAGGGTGCGATTTAAATAAAAGTTATTATTAGGCTATTATTTTCACCCACCCATAACCCATCCGCCATTAATCAGATTGTTCATTTTTATCACCTGATCGACGTGGCGGTTATAACTGCCATTCGCGCATCTCTAGTGTCTACACTACAGGTTCTTGCATCTGGCTCTTTCCAGAACCCCATTGCAGGCGTCTCAGGGCTCTCACAGTCATCCATCAGCAGGGCCAACCTGTGAAGTGGAAACCATTTCAGGTGACTACCTCTTGAAGCTCATGGAGAGAATGCCAAGAGTGTGCAAAGCAGTAATCAGAGCAAAGGGTGGCTATTTTGAAGAAACTAGAATATAAAACATGTTTTTTCAGTTATTTCACCTTTTTTTTGTTAAGTACATAACTCCACATGTGTTCATTCATAGTTTTGATGCCTTCAGTGAGAATCTACAATGTAAATAGTCATGAAAATAAAGAAAACGCATTGAATGAGAAGGTGTGTCCAAACTTTTGGCCTGTACTGTACAATTCTTTTGACACACCTTCTCTCCCTTTCACCTCACTCCACCTTCCTCTTATTCAAAAGCCCGTCACTGATCAATAAAGTATCCAATCATATGTGGAGACGAGGTCGAAAATAAACTAACGTTAAATGCAATCAAATCCCTGGGGTGTCCCGGAAAGTAACGTTAGTTACAGTACTGTTAGCTAACATTACTACTAGGGATACACTACTCGTGTAGAAGTCAACGTCTCTAGCACGCTAACGTCAGCTGTGTAAATCAGCTTCACTTTCATTATACAGTAAAAGATGAGGGCCACAAGAAAACAAGAAAGAAAGAAAAATGAAAAAAATATACGTACCTTTCTGTGTTGCCTGTCCCGGCTCCAACTTACCTCCAAACATAACTTTCTTCTTCTCGCTCACTCGTCTGTCTCTTGGGTGGAAGCTCAGCACTGCCCCTGGAAGCCTGGAGCACTTCCGTTGTAGGAGTGTATATGCAGCGTTTTCTTTTTGCATTTGTTTTTTTATTTGCAGTGCGTTTCTGTATATGCAGCACGTTTCTGTATATGCCTTGCGTTTTCCCATTGCATTTGTTTTCTCATATGCAGTGTGTTTCTCTATTTGCAGTGCGTATTTCTATTTGCATCGCAATTGTCCTTGTTGGCCACCATAGTCTCATCTCTGTACGCATACATAAGTGGAAACGAGGCGTAAAGGTTGGAGGACTTGCTGATAATATACCATGTTGTGATATGAAGTGTATGAAATAACATAAATGAAAACTAACATCTAGTGGAAATAATAATAATGATAATAATAATACATTATACTTATATAGCGCTTTTTAAGGCACTCAAAGACGCTTTACATATTCAGGGGCAAAACTAAAAACAGACAAGCAAGAGAATAAATAAGGGATGAGGAGAAGAAACTGTCAGGGATTGAAAGCAGCGTTGAAATCAATGCTAATGGTAGCAAGGTAGGCTAATTAGCAGCAACCTTTCAAAATAAGCGGTTCAGCCTAGCCTGCTAGCTTTCTTTTTTTGTGTAAAATCCAAACTTCCTATTGGTCATTTCAAATGTTTAAAGGGCCAGTGTGTAATATTTGGCATGGTTTATTGTCAATCTGAATCTGAATCTGAATATTCTACCCATTAATATGTTTATATGTTTTTAAAGTGTATGATCGCTATAAAATAAAATTCGTTTGGTTTTCGTAGCCTTATAATTATGCTTTTATATATATATATATATATAGCAAGGGCCTTGCTTTAGAGAGATCGCCATCTTGCGCCGCCATGTATGTACGGCAGACCGAGTGGACAATCCAGCCAGCCAGAGAACGCGTTTCGCGTGTATAAATGAACCAACGAAGACAGCGGAAGGAAGGAAGAAGGAGGAGGAAACAGGAGAGTGTTAGTAGTTCATCGATAGAGAGTAGTGAAAGGTTTTTTTAGTTATAATGTTTGCGAATGGACCACACTTACCACACAACAGGAGAGAATGAACCTGAACCATCATCTGCGAGGAAAAGAAGACGCAATTTCACTCCTTGTGATGCACTCTCTGCGGCACTTTTCCTCCTGATGATATATCTCCCCAACGATGGTAGCACCGAATCCCATTCTGTGCATTCAGCCTCTCTTCTCACCCGCTCAGCATCAAACACATGGAGTTCCTCATCTGTATGCTCCGGCTCAAACAGGTATGGCTCTGGGTCTGTGTCCGCTACAAGAAACTCTTCAAAATCGCGTTCAAAGTCGTCCATTGCAGCTACTATAGTCTGGAGATATTGCTAGGCTAAATAAACAGCTGAGCTCTGTTTACAGGCTACGCTGTCAGTCAGTGTGCGGGCTGGAGATTGGCGGAGCAGAGAGGGATGGGGTGCCCACTTAGTATCGTAAACGAGTATGTGTGTAAAGTTATGAAGTGTGTCTGTTACGCCAGAAGAGACAGAGTTTGGGATGGAGTGGAGTGTTACCGGAGTTTCTGGAGTGCTCAAATAAACGGGCCTTTGTCCCGAACACTCCTCTGGTCTCCTGCTCGTGAGGGATTCATTACAATATCGTAACATGGTTTAGATTTCTAAATAAACATTCACGTCGTCACTAGATAGACCTACTCCTGAAAAAGTCGTGTGCCGACGGGAGGGGTGAGCGAGTGAGCCCTACAATCTAGAATTTGACCAACGGTCAACCCATTTTACACACTGGCCCTTTAAAGTTTTAAAGAGAATAGATGTCTTCAATTGCTGACAGTAGCTACATGACAACCACTATCTGAGCTTGCTTTACAGGTCTATACACGGCTATAATGTGCTGCAGTCGGTAGCCATGGAACTATGGAAGTTCCTAACAATGTCTGAGCACTGCTGGCCATTTCCACTAATAAATCACGTGTCCCTTTTGAAAAAACAAATACATTAGCACAATATCTGCAAAAGGAGAGTGAAGAGAATTCAAACTTCACTTTGACTTTAAAGTGATGAGGCTAAGTCTTGAAAAAACACTGTCTCACTGGTGCAGATAGCCTACGTACATGCTGTAAAGAATGAGTCCCATTCCGTCTCTTAAGTGTTGGCTACAAATTTCAGGACGGGGCCTTCAGGTAGCTACTGAGCGGCACATTAAGATGCAGGACACATAAGTAGGGAAGATTAATGTCACTGTCCTGGCCTGTTTGACAAACACTCTCATCTCTGGATATTCTCTCATCCTCCCACTGATCAATTACCAACACTGCTGAGATCCAGGGTAAGTGCTGCTGCTAATGCTGTGTGTATCTGCCAGCATAGAGTGTGAATCTGGAGGACACCTCTGATGGCTTAGCACATTAAAAACATCTCTCAAGTTGGGTTTTATGTTGTTATTAAGAGCTAAAACTTGCCGTAGTTTAGGGAATTAATATAACTTTAAGGAATACGCAAACAGATCCTGCTGTTTCATGATTTATGTCCTAAATAAGAAGCTCTTTGAGGGGGCTTGTACTGGCCGTGTGAGCCAAATGCAACCACAGAGATCATACGGGGCTCGCGAAAACTTGAATGTATGTGTGTGTGAGACTCGTTGCCAAACAGACAGCAGGACCAAGAGAGAGAGTGTGTATGATGAGAAAGTGTGAAGAGTGAGCAGAGGGAATGTGTGCCTATTCATCTCCTCGCTGGGAGCAGGCAGGTACAGAGGTATGGCAGCCTTACAAGGTCAATATTTTACTTTGGCTTGTGCTCGCTAATTAAATTACAGGCAAAGTGCCCCAGGAGAGCACACAGAGAGATATAGACCCTGCAACACCCCCCCCCCCCAACCCACAGCTCTGCAAGCCAAACAATTTGTAGCATGAGCTGAGATGTGAGCGTGTTTAGTCATCGCAACACGGCCGATTTGGAGCGAATTTAACATGTTTCAGGAGATCAGGGGTGTACTGAGGCACGGCACGGCAGCCAGGGTGGAATCTGAGATAACAGTTCTTTCAGTGTGAAAATCTCTTTCCTGTCGAAACTGAAACGGAGCAGGAAAGTTCGCTAACCTTGAGGCTGCGTTTGGCATCCGATCTGACCTTGACCACCAAGTGTCTCATGCAACATACAGTAATAGCCTATGCATGTCAACACGTGTTTGTCGTCAGAGGGCATATCAAGCTTCAGACACGAGCTGCTGATGAGCCTGACTGATGTAAAACAGTCTCCTTTGTTTATAGCAGGGCCTGAGGGGCAGGGACACGAAGCACTGACAGCCTGTCACCCTAATCGTCACTAATAAGAGGGGCAATGTCACAAATCCACTCGCTGTGGAATAATTACACTCTGAATCCCACAACCAGTTTGTGTTTTTATTTGATCCGTGAAAGAGAAATCCAAACAACAGCAGAATTATGCAATTATTTCTGTGCCACAGGGCAAATGCAAACTCAAAAAGAAAGTGAAGCTTCTTTAAGAGAGTGGGGGAAAAAAAGCACCCAGAAGGCGCAGGTTAGAATAATGCAGCTCTGTCATTGGCTGAGCGCACCAGGAAGTCCAACCGCTGTTGCTGTCATCTGACTCTGACGCAGGCGCTTCCTGAAAGTCAACAGCGAAAACATGGCTCCCAAACTTGAACTTCCAAACGCTGCGGCGATCATCTGGATGATCTTCCTCTCCCTGATCCCCCCTGTGGAGGCTTACGATGCGGGCGACGCGTTAGCCCTGCTCCTGTGCACCATCCTGACCGTGGTGGGCTTCTGCGCGTTCCTCGGCTGGTACGCACGGAAGCGGGACGGACCGCAGTGACAGAGACTCTCTGAATCCTGCGCCTGCCTTGTCCTGTTATCATCCACTGCATTAATACCTCTCTGTGTGATCTAATGTGGATCTGGCACAAAGTTTGTGTCGAAATGACTTATATGAAACGTGCCTTATTGGAATGAGTGCGTCAGGCGCAACGGGGAACCACGTGCAGAAGCCGGAGGGGAGTTGGGGGAATGATCCAGGAAGTCGGAGGAGCTGTTACCTGTTGCACTGCTGAGATTAAAGACCAAACATTGTTGCCTTCTGTGTGAAAAGACTGCTGCAGCTGCTGAATATTATCCCAAGGATGCTTGCATTGCACATTGCGCATATTTTTCCCACGCTTGGAGCGATCACTGTGATTTCCTGATGTGTTGATGTCTCCAATGTGCAACATGACATTGCCATTGTTTTAAAGCACAATATCACAAGTGTGGTTACATGAAAAGAGTGGAGCTGTTGTTGCAATTTCTGCTGTTAAAATGTGTGACAGTAGCTCTGAGAATAAATTGATTCATCTGCTTGTCATAACTCGTGGTTTGTATGATATTTGAATTATCATTTAGACTGTGTTATAGGGGTTGGATGTGGAGGATCTATAAAGGAGACGGGGATAGCCACACTTATATATTGCTAAACTCTCAGCTAAATTAACATTACATTAATTCATCTGTTGCATACTGTCAGAGTTGTCTAAAATATGTGACAGAAATTTAAAATCTTGACCAACTTAATATTGAAAGAAGTACCCAGCAGTGCCGGACCTAAGACATTCGGAGCCCTGGGCAACACCACCCACCTTCACCCCCACCCCAAAATATCATTATTATTATCTACACTTTATTGACAAGAGCGATAGCTACTGAGAAATCAACATAAATAAACAACTTAGCTAAGAAACTATCACAATTCGTTTGCCAATTAGCCACTTTTGTATCCGTCTTGTTTCCTACTGTGCCCCATGTGGCTTTTGCCTTTTCATTTTCTCTTGTCTCACTGTGATGCTCTCCACATCACACTTGACTCCGCCATTTGCCTTCTGTTTGATTTTTTTGACATAAATTAACAAAACAAAACCTTGGGATACTTGAAGAATCAAAAGGAAAACTGGTTATGCAGAAAATTGTCAGAATGTGTGAGCAGTATTTTACCGAGATGGAGATGATTTTGAGAACTTCATTTACAGTACAAGTAGGTAGATTAGTCAACTGGTTACTAACGTAGGGGTCAGGCCCCTCTTAAGGGTCGCAAGATGAACCTGAGGACTTGTGGGATGATTATTGGTTTACTAATCTCTGCATTTTGTGTGAAATTTTGGAGAAAAATTTAATTATTTGAGCCTTGGATAGATATTTACATAAAAAGTTTTGAGAGAAATTGTCTTTTTGGAATAACTGCTCAGACATCTGGAACATGACCAGCGGTCCAAGTAGACTTTGACCAAGTGCTTTGTGGAAGGGGTCACAAGCCAAAACCATTGGGATCCACTGGTTTTATCTTTAACAATATTTTAATTATGTAAAATCAGAATCTTAATAGTTGTATGAAATGTCATCACTCAAGTAAAGCACAAGTAATTTAAACTTGTAATTAAGTAGGCTACAGTACTTGAGTAAATGTACTGAGCAAATATAATAAGCTTGAAATTCTCATATGAATAGGAAACACAATAAGTGATCAACTTTATTACCTTGACTACCGGATGATTTAGAGTTATTATTTAACCTTGGGATGATACATCAAAGTGTTTACGAGGTCTGTGCCATAATGAGTGATTGTTCATTAGAGAATATGAGGACGTGCACAATCTCCCTTTGCTTTAATCATTTTAATTTACCTTTGTCTGGGTGGCAGAAAGAGTTTCTTTTGGAATTAAAATAACCACTCACTACTACTGTATCCCCTAATAGTGCGGTGTCAACCTCTATGACTGTGTGCGTTAATTATCAGTGAGCAGGTCACCATGACGTTTGGTAAGCTGTGACTGAAAAGGAGCTGGTTTCACTTGGCTCTCACTCAGTTGAAATCTTTTTTAATCATTAAAAATAGAAATCTGCACATTGTACCCGACTGTGTTAAAGTGGTAACACAGTAGTGTCACATTTCCTACATGCATGATCATAAAAAAAATATGTTTTATGGCCCAGGTAGCTACAAAGAAATATTTCAGTGTGTGTGTGTGTGTGTGTGTGTGTGTGTGTGTGTTTGTGTGTGCAGTTGTGTACATGTGGCTGATTGAATCATTGTTCACTTGTTACACCGCTCATGGCTGCTCATGACATCACGGCTCTCCATACATGGTTGAGAAATCAAATCCCATGAATTTATCATGCTGCCCGGGCAGAATGAACAACAGTGCGCAAAGTGCTCGTCAATTATGCATATACAGTACAGGGGGAAGTCATTCTACCTTGAGGTGAACCAGGCTGCCTGATTTAACCCTTCGCTTTGTACATAATGGTCGACATCTCTGTAGAGTGAAACATGTATGAGCAAAATGGAAGCAGCAGTATGCTATATAGCTTATTGCATCTGTTAGAGACAGCAAGTAAAATGTCCAACAGGGGATTAAAGACTGTAATAAAGATCAGCATAGATTCATGATTACTAAACGGGCCTTGACTAGCAGGCACAGGCTCAGGGGCCTTGAGTGTCAAGGGCCCCGCTGGACTTCACATGCAAAATGTCACTCAAATTAACACATACTGACCTGAATGAGACACAAAATAACTGCAAACAGACATAAATAAAACCACAAGGAGACACAAAATGACTCCAAGGAGACACAAAATGACTCCAAGGAGATACAAAAAACTACAAAAGACAAAATCAACCACAAAGAGACATAAAAACTACAAAAAGACAACAAACAACCACATGGGAGACATAAAATATCTACAAACAGACCCAAAACAACCACAAGGAGACACAAAATGACTCCAAAGAGACACAAAATGTCCTCAAAGAGACACAAACAACTACAAAAAGACAAAATCAACCACAAAGACACACAAAATAACTCCAGAAAGACAATAAATTACTTAAAATAGACACAAACAACAACAAAAAAACAACCACATAAGAAACAAAAAATTACTTCAGAGACACAAAATAACTACAAACAAACCCAAAACAACCACAAGGTGACACAAAATGACTCCAAAGAGACACAAAATTACCTCAATAAGACAAAAAATGTCCTCAAAGAGTCACAAACAATTACAAAAGGACAAAAATCAACCACAAAGAGACACAAAATGACTTCAAAAAGACACAAAATGTCCTTAAAGGCACACAAAAAACTACTTAAAGACAAAATCAACCACAGACACAAAATGACTAAAGAAAGACGCAAAATTAGATCAGAGACACAAACAACTACAAAAAGACAACAAACAACCACAGAGAGACACAAAATAATTCCAAAGAGACACAAAATGGCAACAGTGACCAAAACAGACACAAAATTATCTCAAAGAGACACAAAGTTACTTCAAAGAGACACAAACAACACAAAAAGACAACAAACAACCACATGGGAGACAAAAAATGACTTCAAAGAGACACAAAATTATCTCAATAAGACAAAAAATGTCCAAAAGAGACACAAACAACTACAAAAGGACAAAATAAATCAACCACAAAGACAAACAAAATGACTTCAAAGAGACACAAAGTTACCTTAATTACACGCAAAATGTGCACAAAGAGACACAAAATGACCCCAAAAAGACACAACATGTCCTCAAAGAGACACAGAAAACTACAAAAAGACAATATCAACAACAAAGAAACACAAAATGACTCAAAAGAGACACAAAATGACTCAAAATAGACACACATTGGGGCTTCGGTGGCTTAGTGGTAGAGCAGGCGCCCCATGTACAAGGCTGTTGCTGCAGCAGCCCGGGTTCGACTCCAGCCTGTGGCCCTTTGCTGCATGTCACTCCCTCTCTCTCTCCCCCTTTCACCCTTGTCTGTCCTATTCATTAAAGGCT